GTTTATCGCTCTACCAATTAAGGTTTATCTTTCTCCTTTTCGTTAATCAGTATATTATTCTACGGGTAAAGGTTGATTCTTCCCTCCATTGAATTACAGGGTATATTATCCTACGGATAATACTAATCTTTGTGTTGTTCACTTTGTAAGGTTTATCACTGCACGGTTAAAGATTGATCTACCTCCACCATCCTGCAAAGGGTTTATCATTGCACGGACAATGGTTGATCACTTTCCATCTTCCTGTGAAGGATTCATCAGTGCACGAATGAGGGTTGATCATCTTCCAGCTTCCTACGAAGAGTTTATCATCACACGAATAATGGTTGATCTTCGTCCCCTTTTCTGAAAAGGGTTTATCATTGCATGGATGAGGGTTGATCTTCGTCTCCTTCTCTGAAAAGGATTTATCATTACACGGATGAGGGTTGACTATCTTCCACCTTCCTACGAAGGGTTGATCGTTATATGGATGAAGACCGTTCATCTTCTATCTTATTGAGAAGGGTTCATCACTGCACGAATCATGGTTGATCATCTTCCACCTTCCTACGAAGGGTTTATTATCACACGGATGAGGGTTGATCGTCTTCCACTTTCTTGCAAAGGGTTTATCAATGTATTCATCAAAGATGATTTTTTTATTCTGAAGAATTTATTATTCGTAACTCAGTATTGATTAATTCTTTATTTATGATAGAAAAGAAATTTTGTCAGCAATTTGTAATGCATAACGAAATAATAAGTTTGAGACTGTACCATTAATGATTAAGACATTGGGCAAAAAGTACGTGATGGAATATGTGCCGAAGTTCTTTTTATATTTGACATCTTTCGTGAAAATATTGAATTTTTCATTTGTTGTACGTTTATAAATTCTAGAAGAAGATATCACCATCTATCGAACATTTCTGTCATTAGATAAAATAACTATAGCTGATATAAATGGACGAACTATGCAATCGAAGACGAAACGAAAAGAATTAGAAATAACCTTGTTTTTGTATATCTTTGATATTATAATGATGATCTTTTCTTTAGATACTTATAAACAACATTTTTATTATTTTAGATAATTTAATTATTTAGTATGAATTGGTCTTGTGAACAAGTTATTACTTGGTGCAAATTATTCATTGATGATGATTCAATTTTATCGAAATTTGAAGGGCAGTCAATTCTAATTTATTACGTAAATGCATGTGTATTTTTGTCAAATGAAAGCTCATTTTGTGTTTGTGTTAACGAATAGATCACCATTATGCATGTTAGAATTTTTTGTTATTAACATTTATCTAGGTTATTCGTCTTCTTACGTTTTTTTAAAGCAAAGTAGACGTATGCGTTTGTGGAAGAAAAGAATTGAATTGTTTATATTTTATTCAATCCAATCATTTACAATCACGTTTTTCTATTCGTCGATCTGTCTTTACAAATTTGTAAATAAATAAATAAACAAGATTCTATATATTTTATTATTATAGAAAATAAATAACTCATTTAATTTTGATCTTTTTCATTTATCAAAGTCATAATGTCATCATTTAGTTGTTCATTTTGTCTAACAAATCGACGTTTCAGCAGTTTTGCCAAAATGTTTCAACACATAACGTTGTACCATCAAAATGAGCCGAATTTCAATATCACATGTGACTTACATAATACATGTGGAGTTTTATACAAAACATATTCTGCATATAAAGCTCATGTTTATCGACAACACACGTCTGAACTCCATTTGAAAAACAAACCGAACAATAATTCGAATGTTACTCCTAATGAAAGTCAACAACAAGAAAGTATGAATAACTTAGATATAGGATTAGGAACAATTAACAATGCTGATGATACATTCGATTTTATTACTGATGATATTGAATCAATTCTGGTGAATGATGATTATGAAACGAATTTTTGTAATCCTGCATTATTATTTGATTCCATTCACAATGTCAAAAGCACTTCTGAATTGTTGTTGATTATCAAACGATCGTACATGATGTTTCTTTTGGAATTACGTGAACAGTATTTATTGCCGCAGGGCGTTATGAATATCATTTCTACGTATATTGTAACGCTTATTCGTCATTTAGAACTTTTACTGGAAAAAAAAGCATTTCTTCCATCTACAGATATTTATTCAACTTCAACATCTTCATTACCAAAACAAAATCAAAAGATTATTGAAATTTATCAATTACACGAAATATTGAATGATTTATCAAATATAATCGAATCAATTTCTAAAAACAATTACCAATTCATTAAGCATTGTGAGAAACATTTCGATTACACTTCACCAGAAGAAATACTATTATCATCACCTGATGAAGATGTCATGCATGGTTACTTCATTCCAATCGATAGAACGTTATCGTCGATGTTAAAATCTCAACCACTTCTATTAGAAATTTCAGAAAATATTCAACAACAACGAATCAATGTAGAAAATGATTCAGATCTTATGTTTTCGATTAGAGACGGATATCACGGTTATCGATTTGATCAAGATAGTCTTTTAATCCAGTTGTATTTGGATGATATTGGTTTGACGAACCCACTTGGTGCAAAACGTGATAAACATAAAATGACTATGGTTTATTTTTCTTTGGAAGATGTTCCCGATAAATATCGATCCAAACTTGATTTCATTCAATTAGTTGCTGTTTGTGAGAGCAAAACTCTCAAAGTAAATTTTCTCATGATAAGCTCGAACATATACGGGTAGAATAATAATTTAGAAAAAGCTGTTTTGATAGTACTGATACAAAATAAGAAATGTTAGTTTTATTAGTTTTTTTGTAAACGTTAACTAGAATGTTAACTTGATATATTTCGTGTAAAAAAGAAAAAAAAATATCAATATGAATTTGTATAATATCTTATATTTTTTTTTTGAGGATGACATCAAAGCTCAGCGTTTCTTTGCACCGATAATTGAAAATTTAAACAAGTTACAATTACATGGTATTTCAATTAACGGCATTCATCTTACATTTTCTTTTTCTACCGTTGTCGCTGACAATCTAGCATCCCATTTTGTAGGTGGTTTTCAATCTTGTTTCAGTAGTGGTCATTTTTGCAGAAGATGTTATATTACATATCCAGAGAAGAATTTACCAATTCCATTATCACAAATTCCAACTCGATCAATGATTGACCACGATGATCTTGTTGATAAGATCATCAATGATCCTAATAGAGTATCTTTGAAGGGTGTTATTGGACCAAGTCCTTTACGGGAGCTGATTGGTTTTCATGCGATAACATCATTACCACGAGATCTTATGCATGATTTTATTGAAGGGATATGTCCAATGATAATAATTTCTTTACTCAAACAAGCGTCTGCATTACGAATTTTAACATATAGTGAGAATGCTTTTGTTTTTTATTAACCTGATTCTGACAGATTTTCTTCTGTAAATAGATAATCATGCATTTTTTACTTACAGCGAAAAAGCGATCTTAAGAAATGCTTTATATTCGATTTTTAATGAGTCAAATGTAGGAGAATTAATTTCATTAAATGAATATAGAATTGATTAAAATCTTTTTATATTCTAAACAATAGCAAATTTTTGTTTAAAATCGTAGTAAACCATTTTTTAATATTCTTTTGAGTAATTTCTTCTTACTTCTCTCGTTGATTTATATTTTTCACATTTGAAGTTCGTATACAAGAACGTATGGAAAACTTTCAATATGGAAAATTTGATTCCAACGATCAACCACCTCCATTACTCGTAAAACACCTTCAAAACGATCATATGGTTGCCACTGCAGCTCAAAAATTATGTTTTTTCAAGCTTTTCCCTATCATTTTCAATGATATAGTTGATCTTTTACCTTCATTTGTAGTATATAAAGTATTACGAGAAATACTTGACCTGATATTATCATATCCATTTCGAAAAAAATGGCTACATGTACTCGGTGAATTATGTGATACTTTCCATGAAACAATGCTAAGTCATTTTCCAGATAAAGTAAAACCAAAGGAGCACTTTATTCGAGAATACAAATACATGATCAATGATTTTGGTCCTGCCGTTAAACAATGGTGTTTTAGATACGAAGCTAATCATTCATATTTCAAGAAAATAGCAGTTCGTACGAGCAATTTCAAAAACATTCCGAAGATGCTTGTTACACGTTATCGTTTAAAACAATGTTTAACTTTTGGTCATTTATCTCGATTACAATCAACTCAATATCCAATTGGAATTAAAAAAGTTCGAAGTACTTGTTTTGATTCACCAATGAAAGATATTTTATTGAAACATTTCGATCATATTGATTTTGATAAAGATTTATATCAATGCAATACACTAATTTATGATAATGTTGAATATCGTCGATGCGGAGTATATGTTATAGATTTAAAGCCATCTCATGAACAACCAGTATTTGCTCAAACTATTATGATTATAAAAAAGAATGAAAAATGGTGGTTATTAGTTGATATTCTTGATACAATTTGTTATAATGAAAAACTATCTGCATGGCAAATACAATCTTTAACTCGATATTCTTTGATTGATCCAAATGATTTAGTATATTATTACAAAGGACTGGATATTTACATGGTGAACAATTTGAGTTTTGTTACATTTATATCACGTCTGACACTACATTAACCATAAAATAAACATTTAATGTTTCAAACGCTTATTCTCATATAGATTTTATTATAGCTTCATTTTTAAACTTTCATTAATCTTTTTTTTATAATGTTCATGTGTCTGATAGTATCAGATCTTTTTCAATCGCAATATGTATCAGTATGCTGATATATATTGCGATTGATGAAGAAATTGGTTATGATTCATAACTAATGAGACTTTATGATTTGATTTTGTCTTTGCGTCTTGAAATATTATAAACTTGCATTAGTTATAAAACTCTTTCACATTGCATGATTTTTTTTATAACAACATATACTAATCCAGCTTTCTAACTTTCTCAACTATGCTTTTTTTCAAAAAATAACAAATCTTTATTCTTATCATTATATTTAAGTATAAATTTTTATTTTTTTTCCAGAGCAAGATGTGGATGGCCCAATGCTCAAGATGTTGAATAATGTTGAACGAATATCACCGTTAATACCGAAATTGAAACAACAGCTAATTTTCTTAGAAGAACGTGAGAAATTATTCAGAAAAATTGATGATGGTTCAATTTCATGTGATGGTCCATTATCTAATACATCTACGATACCTAAAACATCAATATTTACTTTACCAAATCCTCAAACATCACCTGCTGTTTCAATTAATTCAAAATCATCATCTACAATTAATTTATCAAACACAAATCTTTCATCAACAATGTCTATGGATAATTCAACAACTGATCAAGTTATTATTGCTGCAGGTGTATCTTCATCTTTTCCAGATGTATATGAAGTACCAATATTACCAAAAGCTTTATTGAAAAATATTGAAGCTGGAAATCTCAAAAGTTTTGGTCCACATTGTCAAGGTCGACAAATACTAATCGATGCAGTAGTTCATGATCTGATGGAAACATATAATTTACTGTAAGTTATCTCTTCATTGAAATACATATAGGCGTCATGTTCTTCTATATTTTATAAATCGATTTTTTTTTCTACTCTTTTTCGACAATTTTCTATTAAAAATTCACAATATTAACTTTTATAATTGATTACGTTGCTGATAATTTATATTTCAACAAATATAAGAAGAGAAACCGTTAATTTAAACAATTTTTTGTCGAAATATTTCAGACGATAAGACGAGATTTCTCTCTATCAAGGCATTATCGATTATTGACAGTTTTGAAACTTGATCAGTTTTTTATTTATTTTTAATTAATACGTTGTATAGTCCAAAATTGAACGATCAACATAACACTATTGGTTTTTCTTTGAAAAAGCTTTTTCAATTACTATAGAACTTCACATTCATTCTTGTTATTGATTTTTTTATTAGCTATCTATCAAAAACACAATATAATGTCGTTGGTTCTGCTCTTCTACGATGTTTGAAATTACCCTCAACACTAGAAAATCTGGTAAGTATAGACTTATTTATTACAAAATAATTTATTTTCTTAAATTTAAGGCCATTTGGAAAGATGCATTGCAAACCAAATTAAAACGAACACGTAATGATCATCCAAATAACGATCTTGTTCAAGAATTTCGATTAAAATATTCAAAGTTGGGATCTGGACGTCCAGTTAAACAAAAAATAGGTGAAATTGCTGAACATGATAGACATAAACAGGTAACTAATAATTAAGTATTACTTATCACTTCATTTTTTTCTAGATGGTAATAATGCCGTATAACAATGAAATATCTGATGAAATTCAATCAATGGTGGTACAATTACAAAATTTTTCTCAACTGGATGTTGATACTCAATTACGTCTATGGAAAGAAACATTTACCTTTCGTCGACAAGTCGTGCGAGATCAATCAACAAGTGATATTATGAAGAATTTTCCTGCTTATAGTGATGCTTTCTTGGTAAATTAGTTCCTCAAGATTATCTCTTTACATTAAAGAATTTTTTTTCTATTATAGGTCTTCGAAGAAGTAAAAATGCTGATGAACATCGACTTAAGCAAAGAAGTTCGACGACAAATTCCTATTATATTAGATAAATTAGTCGAAACTCCTGTATTCATTGCTGGTAAATAAAAATAATAATAAATATTCATGAATAAACAATATCTGCTTTTAGATTCACTTTCTATTCGATTAATTAAAGTTTTATGTCGAAAGTTCGGCGAAACTGTTCAACATATACTCTGCGAAAAAGTAAGCTTCATCTTTTATGTTCAAAATTTTATTCAAAAACAGATATGAAATTAGATTAAATTGATCCCGATCAATAAACGATTGACTTAAACCGATTGAAAATACATAAATGAGATTTCAACCTGCAGTTTTTAAGAAAGATCTTTATAACTGGTCTGTCTCTTGTATCTGTTGTATAGTCTCTATTGATTGACATGTATTCATGTTTAAGACTCATATTGCAATGATTTATTTATAATTGTAAATTTTGTCAATTGTTGACTTAAAATACTAGACATCTTTTAAACATATTGACACAAGAAAGTGATATATCACAGCATACATTTTATTTGTCTTTATTTGTAAAAATTAAAAATATCAATTTTTATAGGAACCACTAACACCATATCCAACATTGGTCTTGATTGATGATATTATTCATATTTATATTGACTTTCATCCAATTCTTTCAACAAATTCACCAGATGATGCTATTGGTCTTCTTATCTCAATGTATTCTATCTTTGAACTATCATTTGATAAAAAGAGTAGAACCATTCGATTTTTATATTGTGTTTTATATGGTGAGAAACAATTTCTCTCTAATTCAATTCGAGTATTGATAAAGGAGAAGAATATTAATATTCATCGAGAACGTCTTCAACTGCCATCTATCTCGTCCTATTCTGTCTCGAACAATACAACCACACTTATTAGTGAATCTCAAAGTCAATTACAAATTGTTACAAATTTATTGAATCGTTCTACTGATGAACATAATTCTTGCATTATTAATCAAACAACAGAACCAACGACTTCAACTCATGGTTCTCATTCAAGTGTAGATATGGCTTCTGATACAAATCAGTAAGTTATATCTTTCTAATTTATCTATTTCTTAAAAATTTTTTTCTTATATAGATTCAACAATAACAACGAGAACGTGTTGCCATCTGATTGTAGTTCTGAACTTCAAACAAGAAAGAAACGAAAATGTAAGCAAAATTTAAATGAAGAAGAACAGGATGATACATTGATGAACAATGCTCCACAAGATAATATTGAATTTTCTCAAAGTCGTCTTCCACTTACCATTATGACAAATTCAACTGTTGCATTACGACAAACAAAACGTAAACGACAAATTTGATCTCAATGTCTTATATGTTCAAGTAATCGATCAAATAACTTTTCTCATTCTTTCTTCTTCTCAAACAAAGTTGTTTAACAGATGATCAGTTTCTTTCGTTATTTTAATTCTTTATTTTTCTTATTCATATCAACTAAAATAAAATCTAAAGTATCAAATCCAATTATATATAATATTATTGATATCTGTCAAATTAGGGAAAAAGAATTATACATCATAAACGCAAAGATCTAAAAATCATTTCTACTTTCTTTTTTTCTGTCTTCTTGAGCATTGCTTTCCTCATCTATATAATTCAATCTGTATCAAATATTCAATAACTCGATAGGTACGTATTGTTGGGACATATTTTTCCTTAACGAACTATTAGGTTGTAAAATACATTATTTCCTCGAACATTGGCCGACAAAATAGGTAAAATATAACTTTTCGATTTTCTTTGTTATTATTGTATTTAGCATTTACTTATTTAATTCAAGCTATATCATCAACTGAATAAAATGATGTTGATATTTAATTTTTGTCAACTTTATTGTATTTTTGTGCATTATTCATTCAATGTTAACTTTATCAAAAAATGGATCGGCATTTTCATTATTGTTTTCTTTCTGTTTTTTTTTCAGCTATTTTATTCATTTCACTAATATCAGTTATTGAACAAAGTCACAAACCAGTCCTAAATTATTTATTTCCATTAATATCAAACAATGAACAACATGGTAAGTGATACATCTTTTTCAAATTTTCTTTTTTTCTTTCTTTTATATTTAGTCATTCAGTTCGAACAACAATATCATTTGACTTATGCAATATTGATATTTATGTCTTTACTGATTATTTTTATTTATTCATTATTCATCCAGTATGAAATTAGTCAAACAGTGGATCACACTTTACATAGTGATGCCGTTTCCTTTGTTTCTGTCAGCTTTTAATCTACTTGGTATCAATTATTTAGCAAAGTAACAAGAGTAAGGTTAATTATTTATTTCCATTAGTATCAAACAACGAATAACCTGGTGAGTGATATTACATTTTCAAATTCTTTTTTTTTCTTTTATATTTAGTTTCTCCACTCAAAAACCATCATCAATTGAATTATATAATATTATAATCTTCTTGATTTCGAGTGGAATCAGTCATATACTCTTATTAATTTAACATCAACTGCATGCAAAAATGAACCACATGGTGAGTGATGTTTTTTTTTTCTTTCGTAAATCTATACTCTCATTTTATCAAAACATATTATTGAGCAATATAACGAGCGAGTTATTTCATTTGTAGCTCATTTTATTCTTCTGCGAGTTACTAAACTATAAATCTAATGTGCTGACTCATTCATGTATAATATGTTCGTTATCTTTTCTCTGTTCGTATGAGTTTATCTTTATTGTTCAGCTAGCCTTATTTCCTTTAACAAGTAATTTATTAGTATAATATTCCAGATATTCCTTGCGAACGAAAATGAAATGAATTTTTTTCTTATCTTTTCTTTCGATCTCATATCGTATTTTATGGTCGCTTTCACTAAAATGGGATATTTCTTCTCCTATGTAAAACTGTTGAGTGACATAGACGTTCTTACCTCAAATGCTTTATTTAATAAAGTAGCCATCGTTCTTTCTACAAACTTTTCTAGTTATTGAGGCTAGTTTCCTTTCTGCATTTGTGCTTCGTACGATTCCTTCTGTCTATTCATGCGTTAGACAACATTCAATACAATAACACTCTCACTCAACCGTATACTCATCTTTTGTGTCAATTTCGCTTATCTCTCGTTGCTTTTTCTCCATTTATAATAGGTACATAGAAGTTTTGGCGACCAATCCTTCGAATATGCGGCTAATATCTTCAGTTCCTATAGATATGTTCAAC